ACAAAGCCCAAGGCGTGCCACAGCAGGATGGAAACAGTCTTTTAGCTGCATCGACATTGCTTCTCTTCCTGCTGGTGGCTAACAGGATGTGGCTTGGGGCGGGAGCTGAATCTGTCTTGTGTTCTTTTCTTTTTTTTTTTTAATTTTATTTAAAGGAAAAAGAGAAAAACACAAAACAAAACAAAGCGGTGTAAGGGTACACATAATACAGAACTACAAAAAAAAAAAAAAAAAAAACAAAACAGTAAGAAATTACCAGTTAATAGATTACATATTATCATCTTAGAAATAGTTGCTCAAATCACAGTATCAAAGAATACAAAGTGGACATTCAAACAGTGAGACTGCAAACAGTTGTGTTCAATGATCCAACCAAAAACATTAATATGGTCAGCTATTTAACACCCCTAAACACACTTACTGTTGTATCCTTTAGAGCTCTTTTTTTCCCTCTCTTTTTTACAACAAAATTTACACATTTTGGATTTTATTACTCCTTAGTTCTTATTACTTTTTTGGGGGAGACAGAATAAAGTCAAATATGGCAAAACAAAGCTGTCAGTCAAAACCAAGGATAGACATAGCACGTGATGTAAAACAGAGTACAAGGTTATCAACAATGGTTATCAACGATGTCTCTTGTTTCCTTAAAAAGAATTGTCTATCTCATTAGATATTATAAAGTTGAACAAAATAGTAGAGAACAAGACCACTAAAAGTTAGGCATTGTAAACATTACAGGACTTCCAAAGGAGACAATAGTCAAACCAGAATGGGCATCTTAGTGAATCTTATTGCCTTCAAAGTAGTTGCCTATACCCTCAAACTTGATACTATCATACAGAATGGAACAGAGTCTAATCAGTCAAAACAAGATCGTGGGAGTATTACAGGACTTCAAAACAAGTTAATAGGAAATCAAAAAAAGTTACTATTATATATCCTGCTAATTTTTTGTAATTTTTCCCCTTAATTAAAACAATCATAAGAAATAACTAAATTTTTTAAAGAATAAGGGAGAGATTGAGATAAGACAGGACATAACAATATAACAATAGAGGTCAAAGCATGACTGTTTCAGCAACCTAGTGCTTCACCACCATATAACCCGACTTAATAGTAGTTAAAATAGTGTCTGTCTTTTTCCTTGAAATATGTGAATAAAACTTCATATACTATAGCTTCAAATATTTCCATATCAAGAAGCCCAGAATAAAGCCGTTCCAATTAATAAGTGGAAACTTTATAAGGCTTCAAGGCCACATAATGGGGAATCATGATTACCACATATTTTTATATATTTGAATAATTAGGGAAACTATTCGGTATTCACACATGCGAGATTGATTTATTTCACTTATGAGTATGGTCTCAAGCTGCGCCCATTTATTGATAAATATCTCAATGTGATCCTTCTTTATAGCTGAATAATACTCCATTGTATAGAAATACCACAACTTTTTTATCCATTCCTCAGTTGATGGACACTTGGGTTGTTTCCAAGATCTGGCGAATACAAATTGTGCTGCTATAAACATAGGTGCACATATATCACTGTGGTATGATGCTTTCAGTTCTTCTGGGAATATGCCTAGAAGTGGAATAGCTGGAATAAATGGGATTTCCAATCCCAACTTTTTGAGAAATCTCCAGACAGACCTCCACAAAGGCTGTACCAGTCTACACTCCCATCAACAGTGCAGGAGAGTTCCTTTTTCCCCACAGCCTCTCCAGCATTTGTTGTTGTTGGTTTTCTCGATCCTGGCCATTGTTTCAGGAGTGAGATGGTATCTCAGTATGGTTTTAATTTGCATTTCTCTAATGACCATTGATGATGAACATTTTTTCATGTATTTATTTGCCATTTGCATTTCATCTGAGAAGTGCGTATTCATCTCAGATGCCCATTTTTGGACTGGATCTTGGAATTTTGGGGGTCTGAGTTTTTTTTTAATTTTTTATATGTTTTAGACAAGAGTCCCTTGTCTGAGAGAGAGTTCACTAAAATCTTTTCCCAGTTTGTGGGTTTTCTTTTCACTATGCTGGAGATTTCTTTTGACATGCAGAAACTTTTTAATAAGAAGTGGTCCCAGTTATTGATTCTGGGAAGTATTTCCTGTGCAGTTTGAGTCGTGTTCATGAATTCTCTACCTACTCCTATGTCTTCACGGTTTCTACCCAATTTGTCTTCCAATAGATTTAGTGTTTCTGTTTTAATATTCAGATCTTTGACCCATTTAGATTTTCATTTAGTACATGGTGATAGACATGGATCTAGCTTTAGTTTTCGGCAAATGGAGAGCCAGTTTTTCCAGCACCATTTATTAAAGAGTGTCATTCTTCCAGTGAACCTGCTTGGCTCCTTACCAAAGATAAAGTGGTTGAGTGTGTTTGTAGTTGTGGTTGTATCTTCTAATCTATTCCATTGATCTTCGGCTCTGTTTTGATTCCAATACCATTTTGATTTTACTACTGTTGCTTTGTAGTATAACTTCAAGTCAGGGATTGTGATGCCTCCTGCCTTACCTTACTGATTTGCTGCTTAGAATTGCCTTTGCTATTCTAGGTCTCTTCTGGTTCCAGATGAAATTTAGGAGTGATTTCTCTAGATCTATAAGGTATGTTGATGGTATTTCTATTGGGATTACATTGAATCTGTACAACAGTTTTGGGAGAATGGCCATCTTCACAATGTTTGTTCTTCCTATCCATGAGCAAGGGATGTCTTTCCATTTTATGAGATTAACCTCAATTTCCTTTTTCAGTGTATTATAATTTTCACTGTATAAGTCGTTCACTTCTTTTATAAGAGTAATTTGTAAATATTTGATTTTTTTGCTTGCTAATGTGAAGAGTGCAGTTTCTCTTATTTCCCTCTCTGTGATTTTGTTGTTCGTGTATAGGAATGCTATTGATTTCTGAGTATTGATTTTGTGTCCAGCCACATTACTGAATTTATTTATTGTATCTAACAGTCTTTCAATGGAGCTTAGGGGGTCTTCTATGTAGAGTATCATGTCATCTGCAAACAATGATAATTTAACTTCTTCTTTTCATATCTTTACCCCTTTTGTTTCTCTTTCTTGCCTAATTGCTCTAGCTACTACTTTCCGTACTATATTAAATAGGAGTGGTGATAAAGGACATCCTTGTCTTGTGCCTGATTTTAAAGTAAAGGCTTTCAATTTTTGGCCATTTAGTATGATGCTGGCTGTTGGTTTGTCATAAATGGCCTTTATTATATTGAGGTAAAGACCATCTATTCCAATTTTCTGTAAAGTTCTTATCATGAATAAATGTTGGACCTTATCGAAGGCTTTTTCTGCATCTATAGAAATGACCATGTGATTCTTATTTTTGGCTTTATTGATATGGTGGATTACATTTATTGATTTGTGTATGTTGAACCATCCTTGCATTCCTGGGATGAATCCCACTTGGTCATGGTGTATAATCTTTTTGATGATTTGCTGCATCCTATTTGCCAATATTTTATTGAGGAATTTTGGATCTGTGTTCATTAGGGAGATCGGTCTATAGTTCTCTTTTATAGTTGGGTCTTTCTCAGGTTTTGGTACTAGAGTAATATTTGCTTCCAGGAATGACTTAGGAAGGATTGCTTCCCTTTCAGTTTCATTGAAGTTTGAGGAGTGTCGGCATTAGGTCTTCTTTATATTTCTTGTAGAATTCTGCAGTGAATCCATCTGGGCCTGGGCTCTTCTTGGTGGGTAAGGACTTAATTACATTTTCAATTTCATTAGCAGAGATTGGGTTATTCAACAGTTTTACATCCTCTTGATCTAGCTTTGGTACTTCATATGTTTCTAAGAATCTGGCTATTTCTTCTGTGTTATCAAACTTTTGAGAGTAGAGGTTTTCAAAATAGGTGTTGATGATCTTCTGTATTTCAATTGGGTCTGTAGTGATTTCATCTTTTTCATTTCTTATTGCATGAATTTGAGCTTTTTCTTTCCTTTTTTTAATAAGGTTGGCTATGGGCTTATTGATTTTATTTATTCTTTCAAAGAACCAACTCTTTGATTCGTTGATTCTTTGGATTGTTTTCTTAGTCTCTACTGCCTTGATTTCTGCTCTGATTCTTATAATTTCCTCTCTCCTTTTGGCTTTGGGCTTGACTTGCTCTTCTTTTTCTAGCTGTTTGAGGTGTAGCATCAAGTTATTTATTTGTATTCGTTCTGTTTTCCTGATGTGGGAACTCAGTGCAATAAATTTTCCTCTCAGGATGGCTTTCATTGCATCCCACAGATTCCGGTAGAGACTGAAGAGCCCCAAGTTTAATGCTATAAGTCACTAAAAATAGTTCTCTGCCCCTCCCTTCAATGACAGTAGCCTTTTGGCAGCTTATTTTGCTCCTTGCTGATCGGACACATCAGTTTGCAGAATGGAAAGTTTTCCTCCTTTGTCTAGCCAGATGCCCAGTAGTAGATGGCATCTGTGTTCCTTTGGGAATAGTCATGCCATTCGCAGGACGTATTCATTTGAATTGAGAAACTCTCTTTGACATCTGTCTGGCTCAAGGTGTCCCATCCTGTACGGTATCTTTCTTCATCCAGACTCTCAGGTGCTCTGCTTTTCCGCCAACCACTAACTCACAGATAAAGCATTGCTTTTGGAAAAATAGCAATCTGCGAAGCAGATACGGAAGAAGTGGTCAGAAGGGTGAATGCTAAATTGTCTATGGAATCCTCTGGCCTCTTATGGGTCACCTCAGATAAATTCCTTGCACAGTCAGACCCCAGGCTCCTCTGCTCGACAATATAACAACAGCCCCTCAAGTCAGGGTGCATGCGGAGATGTAAAGAGCTACTGCACAAACACAGCCATAATCCACATGCAGTACCTGGTGCCTGGTCAGCCTGGGTTTATCTTCTCCGTGTGCCTTACTGGAGTGAAACCCTGTAGCTTTCTCGTTTACTGGGAGGATGTTTTCAGACAAGTATGATGCGTATGGTTGATTCAGTGGCTGATTTATCATGCAGGGTCATAGACGGACGGGACCTGATGCCCCTGCTACAAGGGAAAAGCCATCGCTCCGCCCACGAGTTTCTCTTCCACTACTGCAATGCCCACCTGAATGCTGTGCGCTGGCACCCACTGCACAGTGAGTACTGACATTTTTCTGTGTTTGTTATGCTTTTTGCAGTGTCTGGGCCATGCAGAGAGATGAAATTGCAAGAGCCCTTTGTTCTATAGAGGCTGCTGGATGCTTAAGACTGTGAATGTCCTTTGCTTGATTCGCTCTCCTTTCTCTCCTCGAAGTTGGCTGTGCATCCTTCCCTGGACCCTGCTGGAAGGCCACCTCCTCTGCCTATCTATAGACCAGTCTCTTATCGCACTGTGAGAGAATAAATAAATAAACGCATGACTGGACGAACGATGTCATGTAAATGTGAGCCTGACTTCCTTTGCCCAGCTTTGAACGCGGTGGACCATGAGCTGTTAAATCTGTATTTCATCCTGCCGCAAGTATAGTTGATAGCTTTAGATCGCTAAAGCAAACAAAGTTGAAAACGCATGGATGTTATCGCGCTTCCCAGACCAATGTCCTTTCCATCATGCGCTGTGTCAGTAACAAGTTCTAATTCGCTTTTCCTGACGTCTGTGGCAGGTGTAACAAACATATGCGCGAGCACGTCAGCACGCTGCCATCCTTGGTGCGACCCAAGCTCTCCTTTACATCCTTGAAACTTGGAATGGCAATCATGTTCCTATCCCTAGGGTGCCTAGGAGTCCGTGGAAGTGCTGCATTTTACACAGTTTTGCACATTTCTGAGGTGGATGTTGAGTTTGGACTTCTGTGAAGTTTAGGTCCAAGAAACTAGTCTCTCGTGGAGGATTTGATAATTCCTAGCTGTCAGCTCCCACCTAAATTCAGGGTATTTCCTTACTCTATGTGTTAGAAGACAAAATTCACACATGGCTTTGGGGTCCTGCAAATTAGACGTGCAGTGATATTATGAATGTATCTCACCTCTGGATTCACAGTTCAATAGGAGTACAGTTTTTCCAGGTCACCTTATAGCATTTGGATCTGAATCTTCTAGTCAATGGATTGTCCCAATTTCGTTTCATGTGGAGCCTAAAGGATTGTCATGAGCAAAGAGCCAGTGGCCCTGGGATTTGAAGAAGTGTGACAACTTGTCTTGAACTTTGCAGAATGGCATTTTAAGACAACCCACCCCTTCCCCCCTTAGAAAGCCCATAAAGAACTTACAGGATCAGGAGCTAGAAAGAAGCATCCTGGGAAGAGACAAAAAGAGAGAAAATAGAAATAAGTGAGATAAAGGAGACCCAGTGTCTGTTAGAAACCTACCCCTGGGGTAAAGTTTGCAAAACATTTTAGTGCAATTCCTTAAACTCTTAGGCCTTGAACCAGCCAAAGAAAAATATGAAGCACAGCATCTCAAGGCTAGACTTGTATATGTGTAGCGAAGCCAATTCAATACACTGTGGATTTTATGAATATCTGATATGTTTTTCAGAGTATATCTGAAAGTCAGACATGTCTTGGTTTGCACGCCTGGCTTGGTGTTTAGTTATTTAGTATTCTATATAGTCATCTTTTTCTACAAATATTTATTAAGCAAGTGCAGTGTAGAATGTACCGTGTTCCCCCAGGCATCTGTCAGGGAGAAGATGAGACAAAACTATCCACCCAGAAGTTGTTTACATTCTAGGGCATTCCCTGCTGAGAAATGTGCAGAGAACTACGAATCTAAGAATGCAGAAGGAGGAGGTGACTGTCTTGCGTATTGTGCTTTCTGTCAACTGGAGAAAACAGATATGATGCTAAGACTTGTTGAATATTTCATCTTAGACCTGCTTTGGTAGGAGTTTGTCAGTGATCGTTAGATGATGCAGACACTTTGCATAAGTTGTATGACAGAGGGTTATCACCTGTCTTCAGAGTACTCTATAATGAAAGCATAGAAATGTAGGATGAGGGTTTAGTATCAGGCAATGGAAGAGTGGAACCAGCTTCTGTTTATTCTGCCATCCAGACAGCTAGTTGTAGAGCATTCTGTATACTTAGGCATGCTGAGAGTTTTTGCAGTGCAGCAATTGGGAAGCAGGCTTTATTTCTTCCTCAAAAAGAGACATGAAGAGTACAGTACTTCCTGGCCACCAGAAAACTCCCAACTCTCTGCAAATACTTTGCAGATCCAATTACCATCTGTCCTGATTGGTTGGAGGCTTAAGTCTTACAATTCCAGACTCATTAAATATTAATTTCCAAAGCATGCTGAGCTAAAATTTCATTTCTGCTCTTTTAAGATCAGATTTTAATTTTATATACAATATTTTTAAATTTTATATACAATCTCTTCTCTGTGTCTCAGCTAATTGAATGACTTAATTGAACGCTCTAATATTATTATTCTTGTTACATTCTAAAAGAACTCACACAACAATAGCTGTAACCAGAATAAGTTGTTTTGCATTACAATGCAAATTGTGAGTTAAACGTTAGCTATTCACACTGCATTAAAAACTTGTTTTAAGGAATTATGATACAATATCACTGTTCCCATTACATTTTTAAAAAACTCACAGATCACTTGTTGTAACCCCGGGTAACTTTTCTTTGCATTAAAATGGAAATTTTGAATTAAACATTTATTTTACAATGTGTATTAAAAATTGCTCCTTTAAACCTAGCAGTATAAATCACTGCTGAGACTTGCTGTTCCATGCATGTTGAAAATTGCACCTTTAAATTTTGATGTCGGGACCAATGTTGTTAAAAACAACCCAATTTTGACTTAAGTTATATAAGGGTGAAATTTGTCTTCAGAGGTAGGTCGGTAACCTGGCTGTGAGATTTTCTCTTTTCCCGTCTTTATCATTATGTATAGGCTGTTACAAATTAATGGATTTTGCTTTGGCAGATTCATATGAGTACATAACATGTATTACCCCCTCACATGACCTCTCAGGCCCTACCACCCCCTTTAGCTCACATGTTGGGGTATACAATGTGTGTAATATGTTTTAATCACATGCGTGGCTCTTGACCTGCCCTTCCATCCCCTCCCCCTTCTTCCCTTCTTCTTGTCTATTAATGAAGACTGTTGGCATTGAGACACGTCATGGTTTGCTCAGGGATGGAATGCGTATGCATGGGTGGTCCCCTAATAATACAGCACGCGATTTAGCAAACATGGCCATCCCAGGATTCATTCCCTCCTGAAAGAGCTGCATTACCAAAGGCCCATGGATACCAGGCAACAAGAACTGTCTGGAAGGTTTCTCAAGGTCCATTTACTGTTTGTCCCAATGAAGTATCCAGTGGCATCATTGCCTTATAGATTATACTGCTTAGCACAAGCGTGGCCATCTTGGTTTATCAAAGTTCATTCTACAGTATTTGTAGACTGGTATCACTAAATACATGGACTTCAGAACATGCAGCCCTGGTTAAAAGATGTGTGGCTGCCATTTAAAGCGTTTTCTATAAACATGTAGAATGTTGGCATTGCCTACGGAAAACATGGCATTTATTCAAAATATCATGCATTCCTGAGAAAGAAAGCTCCCGTGGAAGCTACAGAAATTAGTTCAGAAAATGTAGTCTTCCTCTCATCGAATTGGCAGGCTCTCTCCAGTAGAATCTGTGAAACGTATTTTCACATGAAATGTCACGTTACTCTACAAAACTTGTTAGACACTATTTGGGCTAGAGATTCACTTTGTAGCTAAAGTTTTAATAAGTATAAATGAAGATTAATGTCATGCATAAAAAACACCAGTCAGTCAATTCCTTTTTTTTTTCCCTTAGAGAAAAATCAGAAAAAAAGTTAGAAATAATACAGGATTTTAAAAATAACAGTAAGAAATCATTAGTTGATAAATTACATCTTAGAAGTCGCTTGCTCAAGTCACAAAATCAGTGCATGAAGTGGACAATCAAACAATGGCAGCACAAACCATTCTTTTGGTAGTTTTTCCCAATGCAATCTTTCTTCCTTGTAGAGATAAAGAAAAAATAGTCATAATTAAATTTTCTTGACTGTCCCAAAGTCTCAGCATTTCTGAATGTTCCAGCACCCTCTTTCTTCTGAGCTCAGCACACAGGCTGTTCTCATTTCGCCATGGCTCACTTCTGACCTTTTTCCCATTACATTTATGGTCCTACTGTGGCAGGGATTTTGTACGGTCTTTTTATGCACAAAAGTCTGTTTGCTTTGCCTTTGACACAGCACCTATTTCAGTTCTCTCAGTCTGTGTCTGTCCCCCACCTGATTTACTTTCATCGGCTGTCAGAGCTGGGATTTTCTTCAAAGATGTTTCCTATCCAGCCTGGGCGTGTATTATTGAACAACCATTTGTGTCTGCCTTTCCTTCGTGCACAAGAAAATGTTTCCTAGGTGGTACTGGCACTTTACCTTTGTTAATCTCTTACACACTTGACTTTATCATCGACCTCGTGTGGCTACTGTCTGTCTTTTGAAGACCTGCTTGACAACAGGAAACCTTGCTTTCTCTGCCTCTGCACTGTCTGCCAGATGCTTCCTCCGCACTTCACTATGGAATTTCACTCAATCCTTTTCATTAAAAGAGGCTGTGAGGATGGTAGTGGCAGATGTAACTCTACTAGAAAAAAAAAAAACAGTGTTGAACAAGAACAATAGAGAAGCTTTATCTGGGTATTGTGAGTCATGAATGTTCCACAGTCTCAGGGTTTCAAAATCCTCACAGCTCCTTCTCTACCACCCACAACCTCATCTTGCAGGTTGGTACTTGTGTCAGACCTAAAGGTCATAGGATGGATGGACGGATAGATGGATGGATGGATGGATAGATGGATGGATGGGTGGATGGATGTGTGGATGAGTGAGTAGATGGATGGATGAATGAGTGAGTAGGTGGATGGATGGGTGTGTAGATGGCTTGATGGATGGAAGGATGGATGGATGGCTTGATGGATGGATGGATGGATGGATGGATGGATGGATGTGTGGACTGTGGGATGGATGTGTGGATGGGTTGTGGATGGGAGATGGATGAATGGATGGATGGATGGATGGATTGGATGGATAGATGGGTGGGTGGATGGATGGATGTGTTGATGGATGGATGGATGGATATGTGGATGGATGG